GCAGGCAGCTGAGAAGGCTTTCTTGTAGGAAGGGGAGGTCAGGGTGGCAGACAGATATGTTCAGGTCACTGAGCTTCACCCCACTTCTTGGTCCTGCTGGTTAGAGTCCAGGGGCTGGGATTGGCCTGGGTCCCTCCAAGGCCCGTGTGAAGCTTTAAGCGGAAGGTCCTGACTCCAGGACAGGGTGTAGGTCTGGGTCCTTGGTCCTCCATCAGTTCAGTGAAGGAAACACTGACAGACACAACTATGCTGAATGACCAGAAGTATGGAGGCTAGAGGAGCCCCAAGGGCGCCCCAACCCAGCCTGGGACATGAGAGGAGGCACAAAGTGGAGGAGGAGTTGGATCTCTTAAAGGAGGAGTAGGATATGGCTGGACAGGGAAGGGTATTCTAGGTGGAAGGAACAGCACATATGAAGACCTGGAGGTATGTATTTACGGAATGCAGCTCAGTCAAGGATGGCTGGCATGTGAGTGGGAGATGAATTCAAGGCCAGCCTGAGAGAGTCATGTTGCCCCACTCCGTGGCTCACCTGCCCTTATGGTGAGACCTACTTCCTTTTGCTAGAGATTGATATAGACAGAAAGATGTGAAGGGAGAGCCAAGAGCCACCCTGGAAGAGGAGCTCTGAGGCAGGTGGGTTCCTGGCCCAGCCTGCAGGGCCTGAGCCCTCTTCGGCCACAGCTAGGGAGAAATTTGTGCTGATGACACAATGGGGGTGGCACTCCTTACTGAGTGATCAATAACTCTGGAAGCAGATCAGAGAGGAAACTGAAGCTCAGAGATGAAGTGACATGCTTTGTGAGGTCACAGACTAATGAGTGGTCAAGCTAGAATTCAAGCCCAGGTCTGCCGGGCTTCAAAGCTCTATTAGCCAGAGCGATCACACACCTCATTTTGCCTGGGACAGGTCATTTACACTTGTTGCCCTGACATAGTTATTAATAGTGCCCCTTTTAACTCTCAGAAATGCCCTGGTTTATGCAATTAATTACATGGTCCCCCTAGTCTTACCCATGCTGGCTTGGGACCCTCACATGTGCCCCAACCTCTCGGTGTAAGGGCAGCTGTATGCAGTTTGCTCTAATCCAGTAAGACAAACCTTGGGCTGAGGGCCCAGGCTGGGGCGGATCAGCTCCTGTCCATGAGTGCCTAGTTTTGCTGTGGGCATAGTGGGGAGAGCAGATGGGTCTGTGTGTTCCCTGGATAGAGAAGAAAGAAGCTGGAGGAGCAGGGGAGCCAGGGCTGGGGCGGGGGGGAGAGCAGTTCTGCGTTGCTATCTCGGAGGCTTCCCAGAGGCCAGGTCCATTGAGCTGCGTTTTGAATACAGATGGGTTTTCCTTGGGCTGAGATGGTAAGGAAAGGGCCGTGAGGAAGAGGAAGCTGTTTGAGCAAATGCTTGGCGGTAGGGCCACTGAGCACATGCTTAGGGTTGGGGCTCATCTTCTCGTGTCATTGGTCAGAGGTTAATGGGAAACATCTCAGCTGGGCCTCAGCTGCAGATCAGAGCTGGGGCTGCTTTGAGGGTGTAGGCACTGAGTGGCCAGGACTCCAGCTGTGCAGAGAGCACTCTGTGGCCCCTGCCCCTTCCCCTGGGGTTTTCCCCGCATCCTGTACCTTCCTGATACCACTTCTCCTTTCCTGGGCTCAGCCCTGACTCAGCACATCCTTGTTCCCTGTGGTAGGCAGGCACTGGTCAGCTGGGAGGCTTCCTGGAGGACGTAACTACAATGAAGTCTTCAGGTTCATGAGCAGCCCCCTTGCTCCCACCTTCTTGGCACATAGTCCTTTTCCTGTGAAGGTTCTGATGGAAGAAGAGCCCTTTACATCTGTTTCCCTGTCCCGTCTTTCTATGGTCACAGCAGTCATCAGAGCTTTGATCGCATCCCCTCTTGGACTGAACGTCAGCCTCAGAGCTGCCTAGGTCCTGAGTTAGGGTGGGGTGTGAGGAGGCTGGCCTCAGAGAAGCCCTCAGATCTTGGCTGTGGTTGAGCTTGCAGGCTGTGGAGCTAGACTACTTGGGGGCAAATCTCAGCTGTGGAATGAAGAGCAAATTATTTTGTGTTGCTGTACCTCAGTTTCCTCATCTGTAAAGTGGGGAGAAAAGTAAGTCATACCCTATAGAGTCCTTGCAATGAATAAAGAAATGAATTCTTGTACTTAGAAGAAGGCTAGGAATATATATACACATGCTAGTAAGAATGAATTAATCTAGGTCTTCACTTATTTACTCATCCCTGCTGAGTGCTGGGCCCACCATAGTGAATAAGGTAGCGTGGCATTTGCCTCAGGGAGCCCACATGCTGGGGGCCTCAGGATGGTCAGATCCCTCGCAGATGATCAGGACAGTGACGGAAGAGGACTGGGAGCCAGGGGTGGGAGGGCTGAAGCTGCTTGGGCTCTGAGGATGCTCTGTTGCCACTGCCTTCCCTTCAGTGCTGGCCCTCAGTCCTGGGGGAAGTCAGGGAGCCAGGCCCACAGCCCTGCTTGGCCGGAAGGGGCGGAACCTGTCCCCACAGAGCTCTGCTCTCAGCTGATCAGGCCAGGCCCTCAGGGGCCCCTTCTTAGCGCCAGGGAGGCCCTGTGCGATAGACTGCTTTGCCTGTTGCGAGGTCTCCAAGGGCATCGTACCTGACCAGCTGGGGGTCCACACCCAGGTCATGCCTGCAGGGACTTACTCAGCCTCTTGGTCATCATTCCCCCCTTATATTTGCTTTCCTCTCTATCCACCTACCTAGCCACCTACTTCTCCACCCATTCATCCATTCGTCTACTTGTTCTGTCCATCCATTGGTCCGTCCTTCTGCCCACCCACCCATTCATTCAACATGTTTTTATTGCTAACTCAGCCAGGCCCTGTACTGGGGTTGTGGGGATAAAGAATCAAGTCCAGTGCAGCCTCTGCCTTAAAGAGACTCAGGGTCAAGTCAGGGAGACAGCCTGGTATAGTACCTACAAGGGGGCCTCCATAGGCCCACTTGGCATCAGGTTCCCTGAGAAGCAATTCGGGAGGGGTCAGCTGGCCACCAGGCCGTTGGCAGATTTTCCTCTGCTGTGGGGTCCTCATAGCAGTCAGTGCCACTCTCCTCACAGCTCTCCAGGAGCCATTCTCTGTGGCCCTCAAGGGGACAGCTCAGGGCTGAGGGACCGAGACTCATGGTGGACAGGTGTTGGAGCCACTCTGACTTAAAAATTCTTGCCCTGAGGTGCCAACATGTCTTTTAAAACCCCCACGGGTGTGGTTTCAGGTCCCTGCATGGGACGTGCCCAGCTACAGGCTACGACACTCAGGCCCAAAGCTCCTGCTTCTTCACCGGGTGGAAACCACTTAACAGTTTCTCCCAGCCCAGACGCAGTTCCTCACTGAGGCTCCTTTTGCCAAGGGCAGTGTTGCCTCGGAACGTGGCTGGCATGCCACCTTTAGCAGGTTTCTAGGGGAGCGAGTGAGGAAGCTAGCTGGAGGTCAGATCTCACATGGAAGGGAAGTTTCCTTCATTCTTTGCTCACACACACAGAAGAGACAAGAGTACAGGGTGATATGGAAGTAGTCATGTGTACTTAAAAGCACACAGACTGTGGATTCAGGAGTCAGGTTCTGCCTTAGATGCCAGCACAACCTGGCACCAAAGGAGGGAGACACTTAAAAAGTTTATTTGAACATGGGCAGGGACTTAGGGGAGCATGAAGGAGGTGTCAGGAAGGATTTTCGGAGAAGGGGGACCTGAGTGTGGAGTTAAAAGAATAAGTAGATGTTCCCTAGTCAGAGACCGGGGAGAAGGATATCCTTGGAAGAGGTGGCAGCAGGAGCAAAGGCTGACATCATGATCACACCCCAGCCCTTCCTTGCTTTTGTAGTAGTCACACACTGTCAGTCACTGCCAGGAACATTGGGCAATAGACCAGGCTGAAAATAACCAGAGAGGAAAGTTGCCCACGAATCATGGTGCTTCTCCTCGGCCCCTGCTGGACGTTTGCAGAGACAGTGGGTGGGGCCAGGGCTCCAGGGCTCAGGCACCTTGTTCCAGCTGGTGGTCCCTGTACATCCCGTGTGCTGGCATACCATACCCGTGTCTCAGTTAACCCTCCAGCCATCCTGCCAGGTGGGAAATGTAGTCCCCACTCTACAGAAGGGGAAAATGAGGTTCATAGGGGCCAGGTGCCTAAGACACAAAGAATTTAAGACTGAGGCAAGGTTCAAAGGCACGTCTCTTGATGCCAAGGCTCCTCATGATACTTTTCAGCCTTTGAGGAGTAGTGTGATCTGTGCTGAGACAGAAAGACAGGAGCACCGTGTCTGTGGGAGCCCAGGGGACCTCGAGCCTGGCCTTGGAGAGTCAGGGAAGGGTCCCTGGGGGAGTGATGGCAAAGGTGAGGAGCTGGTGTGCAAGAGGTGTGTGGTGGGATCAGGAGGGCTCGAGAGGTCTGAGGGCTCCGGGGGGATGGGGAACATCTATGTCTGGGAGAAGAGAGGTGGTCTTGAGCGAGAGACCCACAACTCAGGGCCTCAGGACCTGGTCTCTGAGGCTCCGATCTGCTGAGTTGGCCTCAGTGCCCATTTCACCCCCTCCAACCCCCGCTCCTGCTACTTGCCAGCAAATAACTTCTTATCTTTAAAGTCATTTAAAGCTTTACCTCTTCCAGCCTTCCCTGACTCCCCAGGCTAGGCTGTAAATCACCCACACCCTGTTCTGGTCTGCATTCCTCTTCTAGAGCGGAGACCTAGTGTGCATGTGGCTAAAAGCTAGAACTCCAGAGACAAGGTGACTATGTCACAGTGATGCAGCCAAACTTTGGTCTTAGGGGAGCTTGCAGAGTTTGGGGCAGGGGGGTGAGTTGAGGAGGGCGGTGTGGAGGAGGGCTCCTGTCTGAGTGTGTGGAACGAATGAATTTTGCTGAGCTCAGGTGAGCTGTGGCCCAGTGGGTTTGAGTCCTGGCTTTGCCACATAGTGACTCGGCGGCAGTGAGCTAATCTTGTTGCCCAATGTTTGGTCTGTTCCCAGCCTTCCCTACAAGGAGGAGGAGGAGTTACTGTCATCGCCACTCTCATCCTCTCCCCAGCCAGAACCTGAAGAGCCCCCGGACACCTTCCCCCGGGAGCCTCCCCAGCTCCTCTCTCCCACCCCTCCAGAGGTTCCCCCAAAGCCTCCTCGCCTGCTCCCGGAGTTCGGTGAGTGCCATAGCAGGCCTGGGCCCTGGGTGGGTGGCCTGGGATCTGGCCCTCGAGGAGTCTGCAAGGATGCAGGGTTGGCATTCCCCTTTCTGTTGGGCCCAACCAACGCCCCCCTGAGTGGCCCTGGACAGGTAAGTATCCACCTCTTCATTCTCAAAAAGAGATAACACCCACCTATTTGACCTACTGGCCGTTAGGTGTGGGCACATGGCAGACTTCCTGCGTTGCCCATGTTAAAGTCCGGGGGGGGGAGAGTATTTTCCATGGTCACAGTTGGTTTGCTACCCCTCGGATTATCTCCTTCTTTTGACTCTTGATTCATGTTGCCTTTTGTAGCCCTTTTTAGACAGTCCCCACCCCTGACCCCCCAAGCTTGCCGCCGCTTCAGTCCACTATGTGGTGTCCAGGCCCCCGATTGCGGTTCCATGAAGCCCCAAGAGTATAAATAGCACTTCCTGTCCCCTGTGCCTTTTTTTTTAAAGCAGGCCAGGCTGTGGGAGTGTCTCTCTCCCTCTGAGGGTGGCCTTTGTGATGCCAGTCCCAGGTGCCCAGGAAGGGAGGCCAGGCTCCTTGCCTGAGTGTCCCCCCACCCCTCTTTCTCCCCAGATGACTCTGACTACGATGAGGCCCCAGAGGAGGGGCCGGGAGCCCCAGCTGGCGCGATGACCAAGAAGGTGGGGCAGGCGGTGGTTAGGGTTTGGTCTGTCTGCTGTCAGTGTGGACGGTGGGCTGCCCAGCTGCCTTTCAGGCCCCGAGGACCACTAGATAGAGAAAGGGTGACCATTCCAGGAGAGTTCCCTTCCTCCTTCATTGTCTTGTCATGCAAGGGTCGGGGGTCAGACACAGGGTCCCCAGTCCCAGTGCTGGGCCAGAAATCTGGGGGGTCTGGCTTGTGGCTCCAGCTCCAGCCGTCAGCTGCATCTGGATGGCTGTGTGTGGCCTCTTCTCTCCCATGGTGTTTTGAGCATAGCTGTTTTAGAGTATCTGTTCCACTGTCTTTGTTTCACTTTCTGTGTTCCCGTGGCACCCCCTCTCTGAGTGTCGTAACTCTCCATCCCTGAGTCTCTCCGTGCATTCGTTTGTTTTTTTGTCTCTGATCTGGGCTGGTGTGACCCTGTCTCCCTGGGCCCCTGTGTAGTCTGCCAGCGGGGAGAGGGGAGTGTGAGGAAACAGAAGTGAAAGAGCTAAGTTGTGTGGGCCCAGAATGATGGAATGGACAGAAGGGGGCATGGCAGCCCCGAATGGGTGTCATCTGGGGGGTGAAGGGAAGCATGATGCTGAGTGGGTCTGGGGGGAGCAGGAGGAGCTTCCAGTGAGTCCGGTCCCTCGTGCTGTGCGTGTGGCCAGTCTGCTGAGCGAGGGGGAGGAACTGTCGGGGGACGACCAAGGGGACGAAGAAGAGGATGACCATGCCTACGAGGGCGTCCCCAAGTGAGTGTCCACCTCTCTTGGGTGGCTCTCCCATCCAGCACCCCCATCTCCTCAGCCCCCACTTCCCGGAGCCCTCACCTTGGCCCCCCCTCACTCCCCTTCCTCTTCCTCCAGTGGTGGATGGCACACCAGCAACCTGAGCTCATCCTTGCCCAGCAGCCTCCCGATCTCCCAGCTCCCACCCCACCCCATGGATCGATTGCCTGGGGCTTCCGCCCCCATCACGCAGGTCATCAAGGCTGGCTGGCTGGACAAGAACCCACCACAGGGGTGAGTTAAGCCCGTTGGGTCCTGCTAGTGCTTTGCATGGGGTGTGGATTGCTCTAGTATACTGGTGCCGTGGATCTGAAAACCAAAGGGGTCAAAGTTATTTGAGCAGGACTCCCTCCATGCCAACTATAACCACTGATGATTGCCATGAGACCTATGCTTTATTGGCCTTAATATGGGGAAGTCCCACTTTGAGTCCAGCTTCAGTCAGTCTTGCTGTAGGAAAAGTCCATCTTCTTAGTAAGCATTTGGGATCCTTCCTCTCTTGGACCTGGCTGTTCCTAACTTTGTGGCTAGGCTGGGGTATGTGCCTTTATGCCTTTGTATGTGGCTGCCAGAGCAGGCTGGGGTAATCCTGGAGTTCCTCCGCTAATGCCCAGTCCTTTGCTCTGTTGTTCCTCTGCCTCTGCCTCTCCAGATCATATATATATCAGAAGCGATGGGTGAGACTGGATGCCGATTACCTCCGATACTTTGATAGTAACAAGGTAAGGCCCGTGTAGGTCCCTGATGCGCTCCCCACCCCCGCCCCCTGTTCTAGCCTGGCCCACATTGAACCCAGGCAGAGCCCCTCCCCAGATGAGTCCTCACCAGTGCTCCAGTCTGACTCCTTAAGCCATGTTCTTCTGGCCCGTCAGCCAGCTATGGGCTGTGGCGGAGGTCAGCATTGGGGTTGTCTGTGACTACCTATGGGAGACGGGGCTGTAGCCTTCATATCAACTGAATTTGAGGGTCACTCAAGTGGGGTTGGCAGTACAGCTCCTCTCTCTTCCCCAGGATGCCTACTCTAAGCGCTTTATCTCTGTGGCCTGCATCTCCCGTGTGGCTGCCATTGGGGACCAGAAGTTTGAAGTGATCACGAACAACCGGACCTTTGCCTTCCGGGCAGAGAGTGATGGTGGGGAGCGGGGCAGGAAGAAGACTGGCTGTTTGGCTGGATAAGGGCTGGGAGAACCAGGGCACTTCTGCTTCCCCGCATGAGCCCCAGAGAGGAGCGAACCCTCTGTGAGGTGGGGGATGAGAGGGGGTACCCTCTGGCTGGCCCTGTGCTTGAGACACCCGCGAGTCCTCAGAACCACATTCCATTTACAGGGGGAAACTGTCTCAAATAGGCCAGGTGGCTTCCCCAGTTTTAAGCATCACAGCTGGGATTGGAGCCTGAGGTTGTTCAAGTCAGAGAACTCAGATATAGCCAGAGATAGGTGTGCCAGTCTGGACAGGCTTTCTTGTTCTTTGGGGGCCTTCTGCCAAGCTGAGCTGTAGCTGACTCCTTCCCCTTTGTCCACAGCGGAGCGGAAGGAGTGGATGCAGGCCCTGCAACAGGCAGTGGCCGACCAGCGTGCCCGGGCCCGGCTGTCTAGTGCTTCTCTGTTGGGTGTTCAAGGCTCAGAGCCACCTGACCGTGCTGGCAGCCTGGAGCTACGTGGCTTCAAGAATAAACTGTATGTGGCGGTGGTTGGGGACAGAGTGCAGCTTTACAAGAACCTGGAGGTACGAATGGGTGGGCTAGGCTGCTAAACCTCTCCCCTGCTCCATGCCCACCCTGGTCCCTTAACCCTGCTCTATACCCACCTGGTCCCTTAGCCCTGCCCCATGCCCAGCTGGTCCCTCAGCCTCTCCCTTGCCCACCTGGTCTTAGCCCTGTCCTTTTTCTTTCCCTCTTCTGACCAGGCCCAGACCTTTGCCTGCCCTCTTTCTCCTGTTAGCTCTGATCCCATCCCCTGCCTGCTCCCTGGGCATTACCCTCTCATCCTGTTGCAAATGGCCTCTGAGCTGGGGTCCATTTTCCCATGCCCAGATTCCTGAACCCTCCCTTATCTCCTTCCTAGCCACTTTGTAGTCCCTACAGTACTACCTCCCCCTCCCCTCTTCCCCTTTCTGGGCCTTGAGCTCCATCCTGCAGGCCTTGCCCTTACTTCTCCCCACCTGCCTGCCAGGAGTACCACCTGGGCATCGGCATCACCTTCATCGACATGAGTGTGGGCAACGTGAAGGAAGTAGACCGACGTGGCTTCGATCTCACCACCCCCTACCGCATCTTCAGGTGAGAGTCTCTGTCACACACCTCTCTTTACGTCCTACATTATTTCCTTCTTGCATATGTGGGAAGCTGCCCCTTCTTCCAGGATGGATTTCTTCTTCCTTCTTAGTCCTGCGCACTCCTGCTTATCATATACTTTCACTCGCTGATCTTCTTTGGCCCCTTCCTTCTAAGAAGTCCCACTCTTGCCCTACCCAGCAACTGGCCATCAGTGCCCCCACCCACTGCCCCTTCCCTGGCACAGTGCTCGCAGGGTTGCCCATACTGGCTTTCTGCACAACCCACTCACCCTGCTGTCCCCTCTGGTCTGCCCTGCTCCATCAAAAGTGTTCATCTGTCATCAGTACTTGGTTGAGATCAAAGGATGCTCTTTTTTTCTCTTTCCTGGTACCTATCCTGGATACTACTCCCTGAGCCTGCAAGACTCTACCGTCTTGGTTTCCTCTCTCAGCTGTCTCTCTGTGGTCTCTCTCTGTTCCTTGTCCTTTCCCTGGGCAGGCTCGCCATTCTCAGGCCTTCAGTCACCACCTCCGAGGCACTGTGTCGCACCTGGTTCAAATCCCATGTACTAGTCAGCTTTGCTGCTACGACAGAATACCACAGACTGGGGGGCTTAACAGCAGACATTTATTTTCTCACAGTTCTGGAGGCTGGAAGTCCAAAGTCAAGGTGCTGGCAATGTTGGTCTCTCTTCCTAGGTTGTAGATGGCAGCCTCCTCACTGTGTCCTCACACGGCCTTTCCCCTGTGTGCATGTGGCAGCAGAAGGCTGTCTGGCTTCCCTTTCAGTCTTGTCGGATTAGAGCCCCAGTCTTAAGACATTGTTTAACTTGAATTACCTCCCTAAAGGCCCATCTCCGGATGCAGTCACATTGGGGTTAGGGCTTCACCCTGTGAATTTTAGGAGGAGACGATTCATTCCATACCATCTGGGATGATACATACTGCTGTATGATCCGGGCAGACCACTTAGCCTCTCTGCGTCTCAGCTGCCTCCCCCGTGTGTAGGACCCTGGCAGTCTCTGTAAAGCTGTTATCTGGCATGATGTGCAGTGACTGCTTAGTCAACACTGACCTCACGAGCAACCCCCCGCCTCTGGTCCCATCATCATTGCCTTTGCTCTCAGCTCAAATCTCTGTGTAGACCTGCATGTTTAATAGTTTTATGGACATTTTCCCCCTTTAACTTCCTCCTGAACTCACTGTTCTTCCTGGGCCCCCATCTCATCCATGGGGACCCTGTCTCTCCTACTCACCACTGTGTTAACCCATCATCACCCGTGTGTCACCTCCATTGCTCTCACCTCCATCTGGTCCCTCCCCTCTGCCCCTCGCCATCTTGCCCTGGGCCTACGAGCCCTCTGGCCCCATGCCTGCCTCTCTATGACCACCAGAGGGGATTTTTTTCTTATTTCTTAGGTTTTATTTGTCCATTTCTAGTTTTTGAAGCAATCTTTGATGACATTCTTGGCCTAAGATTCTTGGCCATCATCCTTAACTACCTCAGAACTGCACCCAACCACTTTCTGGAGTTTCCCTTCTCTGTCCGTTGTATAGGGGCCTGGCCATTCACTGAGTTTCTCATCATCAACCTTAATTAGGTTGACTTGGTGTTCAGCACCAAGGGCTTCCACCAACCTGACATACGTAGGCTCATGCAATTGGATGCAAGCACATGAAGAGGAACTTAGCACCTGACTAAGGCCTTAGCAACTTTGCAGGTTCCACTGCTAGGCCTTCGTACATGAGGGTCGTCCTCAGTACCTTTCAGAAAGCAGTATTAACATCGATTATATCTGCAGCAGCAATACCTTCTTTGGCCATAATGGGGGTTTACAGATGGAGTCAAGCCTTGAATGCACACACGCAATTCTAGGGCGACAGGGAAAGAAAGAGCCAGAGGGGAAGACATCTGTTTCCTTCTGTCCTCCTGACTGAAACCCTGCGCTGCTTCTCCATTGTCCTTTGGGTGCATTTTGACCCCCTAGCACAGCCTTGCCCCTGTCTCTCCCAGTCACCTTGCTGCCAGGGTGCCCATCCTGCCCACAGGTCCTGGAATACCCCGTGTGCCCTCCTGCCCCTTTGCACTTGCTGTTCCCTCTGTCTTGAATGCCCTTCCACCTCTTTATCTGACCAAACCTTTGTCATCTGTCAAGTCTTAGCCCAGGTATCATTTTTTCCCAGCAGGCTTTTCTACACCCTGGGTGGGCGAGTCCCTCCCCCGGCCCTCACGCGTCTTTCAAGTTCATGGTGTCCTTGCCTTTGTCCACACCCACCTTCCTCACAGACCCAGCATGCCTCCCTCTTCTGACTATGAGCTGTCAACACCTTGTTCCCCCGCACTTCACGCTGTGCCCTTTTATGCTTGTCCCCCATCCCCCAGAGCCCTCGTTCACAAGCCTCCCTCCCTCCCTCCATTTCTGTGTCCTCAGCTTTTCAGCTGAATCAGAACTAGAGAAGGAGCAGTGGCTGGAGGCCATGCAGGGAGCTATTGCCGAGGCCCTGTCTACCTCGGAGGTGGCCGAGCGCATCTGGGCTGTGGCCCCGAACAGGTTCTGTGCTGACTGTGGGGCTCCCCAGCCCGACTGGGCCTCCATCAACCTCTGTGTCGTCATCTGCAAGCGCTGTGCAGGTCTGTGGGGTGGGGAGGGGGCCTGGGCCACGCCATGGCAGGGCTGGTGGGCTGGCGTGTTGGGTAGTAGGCGGTCTGTCTGGCCGGAGGGGCTGGAGTGAAGATAGTAGAGATTGTTTATGAAGTTGCACTTGTGTGCCAAGCCTCTCCCACTGGGATTTAAGCCGCATCCTTACATTGCAGGGCAGGAATTTAACTTCTCACGTCATGGGTGGGGCACTGAGGCACAGACAGGGAAAATGGCCGGTTCAGGGTCATCTGGAAAGTGAGTGAGTCTTGGTTTTAGCCGAGGCCTCTTGCGGTCCAGCATCCCTGTCCCATCAGAAGGGTGGAAGGAAGCCAAGCAGGAGGGGCTCGCAGGGGCTGGGAGGAGGGAGAAGCTGATATTTCATCTAGAGGGGGATGGGAGACAGCGGTGGGGGCTGGGGAATTGGTCAGATTTGAGCATCAGACCCTGGCTGTTTGGAAGCTGAGTTAGAGGGGGACTAGTAAGGAGGCTGCTGCTAGAGGGGGGAGAGAGGGGGAGAGTGAGAGAGAGCGAGCAAGCGAGTGAGCAAGCGTGCTTGCCTGGGGAAGCAATGGAGAGAATTCAATAGATGTTTAAGATCTATAGTGTAAAATTCCCAATGACAGATTAGATGAGGAGGAGGAGAAGAAAAGAGAGTGGAACTCAAGATTCATTTATCTATTCAATCAGCACTTATTGAAGGTCTATGATGTGTCAGGTGCTGGGAATTTGGCACCCTTAAGAGCTAACAGTGTCCAGGTGGCAGCTTTGGGTGGCTGGAGGTGGGGACCTAGGGGGAGGAACAGTCTGGGGAAATTTCTGAGTTTAGTGGAAAACTCTGAAGACTCTGGGGTGGGCAGACGTCCAGGAGGCCTTGGGCTTTGAGGTCCGGCTGCAGAAAAGCAATGACTGGATTGGAGAGCAGCTTTAGGAAGGCATCAGCTCACGGAGGCTGAGGGTGACTGGGGTGGGCAGGATACAGAGGAGGTGCGGCCAAAGCCAGAGCCAGGCAGTTCCAGGCACTCTAGGCCCTCAGCCCCCTCCCTTCTCTGTGGGTCCCTCATGGGTCCCTCATGGGTCGTGTAGCTGAGCAGGGTTGCAATTTATCCAGCCCTGACTGCCTCGCTCTTTCACTCCACAGAGATTTATTAAGTGCTCACTATGTGCCAGGCTGTGTCCTGGGCTCTGAGGTTAGATGCTAAAGCAGGCAATCAAGGTTCCTGCTCTCAGGCAGCTTACATTCTAGAAGGAAGAAGCTGAAAATACATACTACAAACCGATAGAGGAGTCAGGTAATAACAAGTGTTAGGCAGCGAATGTTGGTGGTAAGCCGTCTCAGGAGGTTTGAACGTCAGGAGGGGGCCCCCTGGAGATGGGGGAAGAGAGTCCAGGCAGAAAGAACAGTGGGCACAGAGGCTCTGAGGCAGGAATGAGCATAGAAGATTAGAAGAGGGGGGAAGCATGAGCTGAAGCTGGAGGAAGAGCAGGTAAAGAATTTAGATCTACGTAGAATGTTAAAGGGGACATTTGAGATGATCTAGTTTACAACCCTTTCCCCAACCTCTTCCTGTTTTAATACCAAAAGAACTTTGGTGAACAGATTTCAGATGCAGCTGAAGTCCATGAACTACAGAAACCTTCTAAAGCAGTCTAAAAGTTTACTTGTGTTTGGGATGGTTTGGAACCTAGAATTATAAATGAAATCTTTCTTCTCTACCAAAAAAAAAAAAAAGAATTTAGATCTAATTTTGGGGAGCCATTGGAGGGGTTTGAAGGGATTTGAAGCAAGGGAATTTGCATTTTTAAAAATTGATTAGAGAGACGGAATGGGAGGGAGAGAGACTTGTTGTTCCACCCTCCATGCATTCATTGGTTGACACTTGAATGTGCCCTGACCGGATCTACCGACCAACTGGCAACCTTTTAATATCAGAGTGGGAAGATGCTCTAACCACTTGAGCTACTTGGCCAGGGCAGGAATTTGCATTTTAAAGCGATCACTCAGGCTGGGCTGTGTGGAGTGGCTTGCAGGGAGCCAGGGCTGGCTTAAAGGGGGCCGGCTCGGGGCTGCTGCAGGAGCCTGGGGGCTGCTGGCTGGGCTCAGTCCCGCGGTGCGCGGAGCAGTGATGTGCAGCTGGCTCCTGGAGCTGTGTGGGGGTGGAGCTGCAGGCCTAGCGCCCGGGTGCTGCTTGTGGCTTCTCCCATCTGCCCCTGGGTGAGCACTGGGGGCTGGGGTGGGGCAGGATGTGAGTGCTGTATGAAGGAGCGTGCCCAGAGGACCCAGTCTGGCCCTTTGTCTACAGGGGAGCACCGTGGCATGGGTGCTGGCATCTCCAAGGTGCGGAGCCTGAAGATGGACAGGAAAGTGTGGACGGAAACACTTATCGAGGTGGGGAGGCCCCTGCCTGTCACCTGTATTTGGGGGCTAGCTGCTATCTGGGTCTCTCAACCCCATCCCCCAACCTGACAGACTCCAGCACCCTGGAACTAAAAGAGACCTTTGGGATCAACTAGTGGGTGTGGATTTTGGAAAAGCTGGTTTTTGGCAAAGTCAGCAAACTAGCCAGTGAGCTAAGAATGTTTTTACAGTTTTGAAGGGTAGTTAAAAAAAGAAAAAAAACAGGTAAAAGGACTATTCAACAGAAACTGTGTCCTACAAAACCTAAAATATTTACTTCATTTCATCTCTACGCACATGGGCCAGTATGTTTAGTGTGTGAATATGTGTGTTTAGGGGCACGCACTCATATATGTACATTTGTACTTGGGGTTCCCAAGTACAATAGATGTAGTAGTTATAGGGGAGAACCTGCAACAGGTGGCTGGACCTAGGGCCTTCCTGACAGCCCCAGCCGCGCTGCAGACCCCAGAGCAATGGGAGTGTCACGTTCCCTGTGAGTTGGGGTTACAGTTCCCAATTTACAGGTGCAGACGTTGAATCCCAGGGAGAGAAAATGACTTGCCCAAAGTTACGGGGTGAGTCTGTAGCGGCAGGGGCTATTTCTGCTTTGTTCTCTGCTGTGACCCTAGCACCCCACACAAGACCTGACAAAGAGGCTGGAGTGGGGGTGGGGTGCTGAAATGGCGGTGGAAGAGCTAATCAGCAGAGTGAAAGAATGAACAAACTAGACCCCTGCACTCCCCCAGAGTCCGCTCCTGCCCCTCTTCCCCTGCAGGAGCCCAGGTGATGGTTGTAGGGCTCAGCCTTGCAGTGCCAGGAACAGGGGCCTGTGGCTGGATTCTGGAGCTGTGTGGGAGCAGAGCTGCAAGCCCAGCCCCATGGAATGTCCTAGAGGAATATCAGGGAGGGGAGCCGATTCCAAAAATCCCTGCCCACCCCATTGGCTGACAGGTTAGCCACCACCCACAAGCTGTGGTAGCCTCAGGAATAGAGTTCCAGATGTGGGACTGGCTGGGGAAAGAGCAAGGCCCCCAACCAGGTGCCAGACCTGGGGTGTTCACCTGTCAGACTGTCTGCCTCTTCTCCTGTCAGTGAGCTGAGGAACCGGGCTCAGGTCCAGGGTTGATGAGGGAGCACCCAAGGCCACCAACAAACAGGCTGCCCCTCAGCTTCTCTGATGGGAAAGCGGGCAAGTGACCTGATTTCCCAGCCATAAAGTTTTGCAGGGCATGGGGCCCTGGTCATAAGCTGCCTCTAACCTCTTGCTCACATTCACAGCTCTTCTTACAGCTGGGCAATGGTGCTGGGAACCGCTTCTGGGCAGCCAGCGTGCCCCCCAGTGAGGCCCTGCAACCCAGCAGTAGCCCTGGTGCCCGGCGGTGCCACCTGGAGGCCAAATACCTCGAGGGCAAGTACCGCCGCTACCACCCACTCTTTGGCAACCAGGAGGAGCTGGACAAGGTCAGGTCACTGGGCCTCCGAGACCCCTTAAGAGCACCCCCTTTTCCTTGCACTGTCTGGGTCCCTTGAGACCACCCCTTTCCTTCCTGTCCCCATCTTTTCCACCAGCTCTGTGTGATGAGCTGGCCCAGAGGACAGAAGGGCCCTACCTAAGCCACAAGGAAAGTTGGGGCAAAGCAAGGAGGAGCCAGGCCTGCACCTTGGACCAAGACTATGTCCCCAGCATCTGTCTGCCTCCCTCCCCAGCTGATTCCTCTGTCTCCGCACCCTGTCCTGCTCCTTCTGTATCCTGCCAAAAGGAGTGAACTTGATGGGGATGCTATTTCCTGTCAGGCTCATGAAAAACAGCTGGCCGCTCTGACCCCCCCCCCCCCCCCATCCACACCCCACTCAAGATGAGGCCCCGTTTGGGCCCCAGGCCCTGACAGGCTGGGAGCCAAGCTCTGGGTCCTGGCTGGCTCGGGCAGAGCGGGAGGTAGCCGGCTCCCAACGGGGGGATGCCACTTGTGACCTCTGGTTGGCCTTCAGCCCCTCCCCCAAAGCAGCCCCGCCCAGGCAGGCTCAGTCCAGCTAGAAGCCCAGTGGGAGCCGGGCCTCCACCTCCCAGGAACCCCCAGGCGTCCAGCCCCCAGTCCAGCCCAGTTCGACTTGCCAGCTAGGAGGGGCGGCAACTCCCATTGGTCGGGAGGGCTGGGCAGGCGGTGAGGAATTCAAATGTGGGAGGAATTAGTTACAAAGCACCCCCTTCTGCCCTTGCACAAGGCAGAGGCAGCTTGAGATCCTCTAGAGAACAGGCTTGGCAGCTCACGGGGTCCTGGGGGCTGCCAGCAGGGGTGAGACCTGGGATGTTGGGACCCCGGCCTCTGCTGGGCACCCCTGCCCACCCTTTCTCCCCATGGCTTTTTTCTTCCTCCTCTTCTCCCCTCTGTCTTTCTTCTTCCTTATTCTTTCTTTCAGTGTGAGGATGGGCCCCCAGACCTGGGCGCCTCCTTCCTTTTCCTGCCTCCCCTCACGACCCCCTTTCCCACTGGCCCCACTCCTGCTGGGACTGACCCTTCCTCACGCCCCTTCCCTCCCCTCAGGCCCTGTGTGCTGCAGTCACCACCACAGACCTGGCTGAGACCCAGGCACTCTTGGGCTGTGGCGCTGGGGTCAACTGCTTCTCAGGAGACCCTGAGGCCCCCACACCCCTGGCTCTTGCAGAGCAGGCGGGGCAGGCGCTGCAGATGGAATTCCTTCGGAACAACCGGACCACGGGTGAGCAGCTGGTGGGACAGTCCTCCTTGAGGGATGGGGCCTCCCTGCTGCTGGGGTCTGGTCCTTTGCAGGGGATGCCAGATGGGGGTCTGCAGGGCTGTGGATCGCCCTGTGAGGTTTGATTACGTGAGCTATAGTTGCAGTTCCTTGAGGGTCCTGGAGCAACAGTGTGTAATTTGGGGTGTGTTTGGGTTTGCATGTCAGTGTCTGTTGGTGCATCTGGCTTCCCCTTCATATGTGTAGCCCTTTGTGTCTCTGTCTGTGCATCTGTGTATTTGTCGGTCCCTCCCTGACCCATAGAGTGGGCCTTCAGTGTTGAGGGCTTTGGGGTTTGTGTGTGTGTATGTAGAATGTGTCTGTGTTGCTGTATGTGTGTTGGAGGGTGGGTGTTGCATTTCTCGGTGTGCAGGTGACCCATGGCAGCAAGCCCGTCTGCTGCTCTGTCTGGGCGGGGCTCTGTCTGACACAGGCTGAGGTTGGGTCACACTTGGCTCCCATTCTTGGGGTGGGTGAGGAGGGAACAGTGGGGGTGAGCACTACCGGTCCTGGCCTAGGGCTGGCCTCTGGGGCCACATTCTAGGACTGAGGGAGGAGCTCCGCAGCCAGGGCTCTGGGCTCAGGGCCACCGGTGGGTGGGGTGCGCTGGGCTGGAGAGAGCCCAGGTGTCCAGAGAGGCACAGGAGACCACCCAGCTGGCTTGGGCTTTGGGACTGCCGGGAGCGGGGCTGAAGGCAGGCTGCTTCCTTAGGCTTTGCATCATCTGGGATAAACCTCCCTTTGGGGATTGTTATCGAGTTTGCCCAAGGCCCCCCTCGTCCTAGTGTGCTGGCCCTCTGCCTCAACAGACAGCAGGGAGAGTGGGCTGGGCCTGGCTGGGGAGCCAGGGCGACTTCCGGGTACTGGACCTGGGCTTTGGAGCAGGGTGGAATTTGCATATGTGGAGAGACGTGAAGAATGGCTGGGGCAAAATCCTGGATGTTGCAGTGAGAGCCTGAGGGTGCTAGTCAGGGGAACCAGGGCTAGTGACTTAAATGCAAGCCTGGATGCCCAGCCTAGGTGGGGGTGAGGGAGGCACCCTCGGATGGCAAGCAGGACCAACCGTTCTCCCCCCACCCCTCCCTAAAAGAGGTACCTCGGCTGGATTTGATGAAGCCCCTGGAAAAGCACTACTCAATTGTCTTGCCAACTGTGAGCCACAGTGGCTTCCTCTACAAGACCGCCTCTGCTGTCAAGCTGCTGCCGGACCGTCGTGCCCGGGAAGGTGGGTGCCCGGGAAGGCGGGTGCCCGGGAAGGCGGCATTCTGGCATGGCAGCAGGGCCAGAGAAGCCAGGGCTGGCCAGGTTGGTGGCTCACAAGGGTTCCGTGTACACTCTGGCCATCACCCTGGAGAGCTTCCTGGATATAGTCTCTAGTACACAGTAGGTACTTAATAAATGGGATGGTCAGGATATGAGTGGGGCATAGCTCTGCTTGTTTCCTTTAGACTAAGAAGCCTTTATTGAGCACCTGCTGGGTGTGGGCCCTGTGCTGGGTGGGCATCTGGTAGTTGGAGCCCATGGGTGCTAGGAAGTTTGAGGACTAAGCTTAAAGCACCGCCCCTCTCTCATCTCTGTGTCCCGTTTGCATCCCAACTCAGAGCAATTCCAGTCCTTACCACATCCCACCGGGCCTCCACGTTACTGCCCCGCCCCCGCCCCCCTCACTCACTCTACAATAGCCCTTGCTGGCCTTCTTGCTGTTTCTCAAACAGGCATATTCACTCCCCCCAAGGCCTCTGCATTCGCTGTGTCCTCTGCCCAAAATGCTTTTCCCCAAATACCTGCTTGGTTAGTCTATTGTTTCAGTTGGATCTCTGTTTAAATGTCACTTCATCCCCAACCATTTTATCCAAAATAGCACTTCCTATTTACCCTACTTTTATACCATTTTTCCAACAATCTGTTTATAGGTCTGTTTATTGATTCTCTGAGCCCTGCTGAAACATAAGCTCCTCTTGGTCACCACTGTAGCCTCCGGAGCACTTGGCAAATGTCTGCAGGGTAAAGAGTGACTGAGGCAGGGCTGGTTCTCCTAGAGGGAGCCCAGCCTGGGGGGCGGGTGTGAGGCACACCGCCCTCAGGGCCAGTGTCCTGTTGTCTAGATAGGATGGAGGGACGGACGGAGAGACGGTCTGCTGGGGGAACACTGCTCACTGCATCCCTCAGCATTCCTGGGCGAGGCCCTCCTGCTCCCAGGGAGACTTCTTTGGAACTTGGTGCCAGTGCCGGCATCACCTCGCCGGCCCTGGGGCACGGTCCCAGCCCACCTCTCTCTGCCTGGCCATGTCATTTATGTAACTGCCTGAGTCATCCTTTTTGTCCTGGGTGCCAGGAAGCCCTGAGCCAATGTGAAGCTCAGTACTATGAACTAAATGAGTCTGAATGGCCTTGGCATTCTGTTCTTTCTCCTACCTTTCCTGGGCCAGGTTCCTATTTCCATTCCTGTATGGAATCTTGTTAGACTCCTTAGAGCCATTATAAGAAGAGACAGAGATTTTTTATTTCATTTTTTTTGTATTTCCTTCTAGTATTTTTTATTGTATATTTTTCCATTGCCATTTAGTCCCCTTATACCTCCTCCTCCAGTAATCACCTCACTGTTGTCTATGTCCACGAGTCCTTTTTCCTTTTCGCTCAGTCCCTCCACCCCCTTCTCTCCCCACCCCCGCAGCTGTCGGCCTGCTCTCCATCTCTGACTCTGTCTCTAGTTTGCTTGTTAGTTCAGTTTGTTCATTAGATTCCACATATGAATGAAATCATATGGTATTTGTCTTTCTCTGACTGGCTTACTTTACTTAGCATAATATTCTCCAGGTCCAGCTATACTGTCACAAAGAATAAAATTTTCTTCTTTTTTATGGTTGATTAGTATTCCGTTGTATGAATGTCCCATAGTTGTTTTATGCAATCATATACTGAGGGACACTTGGGCAGCTTCCATATATCGGCAGTTGTAAATAATGCTGCTCTGAACATAGGGGTGCTTATGTTCTTTTGAATTAGTGTTTTGAGTTCCTTTAGATATATTCCCAGAAGTAGGATTGCTGGATCAAAAGGCAGATACATTTTTAATTTTTTAAAGTGTCTCCATACTGCTCTCCACAGTGGCTGCGCCAGTCTGCACTCCCACCAACAGTGCAAAAGGGTTCCCCTTCCTCCACATCTTTGCCAGCACTTGTTGTTTGTTGATTTATTGATAATAGCCATTCTGACAGGTGTCAGATGATATTTCACTGTGGTTTTAATTTGCTTTTCTCTGAGGATTAGTGACATTGAGCATCTTTTCATATGTCTATTGGATATCTGTATGTCCTCTTTGGAGAAGTGTCTATTCAGGAGGCAGATTTTAGAGCAGTGGTGGGTGCTTCTGGCAAAGGAGGGTGGGGTAAGGAGGGGGAGGGATGCACAGAAGGCTTCCTATGGCTTTTTTTAAAATTGATTTTTAGAGAAAGAGGAAAAGAGGAAGAAACATTGATGTGTTCCACTTATGTATGAAATCATTGGTTGATACCTCTTTAAAAAATTATATTTTATTGATTATGCTATTGCATTCTCCTAATTTTTCCCCTTTGCCATCCCCCACCCAGCACCCTCCACTCCCGCAGGCAGTCCCCCCACCATTGTTCATGTGCGTGAGTCATGGGTATAAGCTCTTTGGCTATTCCCTTTCCCATACTGTATTTTCCATCCCCTCAGCTATTCTATAACTACCTATTTGTACTTCTTAATCCCCTCAACTCTTCACCCATTCCCCCACACTGCCCTCCCATCTGGCAACCATCAAAATCCTCTCTGTATCCATAATTCTGCCTCTGTCCTTGTTTGCTTAGTTTGTTTTTTAGATTCAGTTGTTGATAGATGTGTTTTTATTGCCATTTTATTGTTCATAGTTTTGATCTTCTTCTTTTTCTTAAATAAGCCCCTTTAACATTTCATGTAATAATGGTTTGGTGATGATGAACACCCACTCTACTGTTGTTTCCTTGTAAATTGTTCTTTATTTCAATTAGTGTATCCTTCATTTCTGATTGGATCATTTTTGTGCTATTTAGGTCCTCACGAAGTTTCTTAGCATTTTTATAACCAGTGTTTTCAACTCTGCATCAGATAGATTGCTTATCTCTGTTATGTTTAGTTCTTTTTCTGGAGTTTTGATCTGCTCCTTCATTCGGGCCATGTTTCTTTATCTCCTCATTTTGGTAGCCTCCCTGCATTTGTTTCTATATATTAGATAGAGCTGCTTTGACTCCATGTCTTGGTAGTGTGGCCTAATGTAGTAGGTGTCCAGTAGGGTCCAGTAGCACAGCCTCCCTTATCACCCACGCTGGATACTTGAGGCGCACTCTTCATGTGGCTGAGTACACCTTCCTCTTGTAGTTGAGACTTGATTGCTGTTGGCAGGTCAGTGGTAGGGATTTATCCAGGCCAATCAGCTACAAGGACTGGCTGTGATCACTGACCACCAGCTTCCACTCTCCGTGGAGGATCAGCTGTGCAGCGACAGGGTGATGGTGCTCCTACGTGGTCCGTAGCTGTGTGCAGGCTCTGGGGTTTCCATAGTGGTACATCTGGTATTTCCTGGATGGTGCAGGCCAAGGTCAGCACCCACCCGTGTTTTGCCCAGGGCCACCCTGCCTGAGCTATAAAGCAATCTGAGGTGGCTGGTACTTGTGCTGGGCTTGGAGATTCCCAGGCAAAGCCAAGCTGTTAATCTAGGCTGCTGCTAGTGTTGGGCCTGGGGCCTCTTAGCCAGAAGTACAGGGGCTGGGGGCTCACTGATTCTGGCTGTTGCTTTTTTGATAGGATTTAGGAAGTTGTGAAGCATGAGTCAAGACCAGCCATTCATATGGAAAAGTCATGTTAACAGCTTGAGTGGGCCCTTAAGTTGGGTGGGATGGAGTCTTGGGGGATCTCCAGGTTGGAGCAAACGGTGTTAGCCAGGTTGATGGTGGCTCAGATATGGCACCAGCCTGTTGGCTCCGTGGCTTTGTGCAGTGAGGGTTCCGACAAGGGACAGTGGCCTTTGCTCACCTTTCTGTCTGGGAGAAACCTGTCACGCAGCTCTCACCTTGATGCCAGACACTTCAGTTCCTCCCTGTGTACCACTGGTGCTGGAGCTCAGAGAGAGTGTATCTGAGTAAGTCTGTGTGGGGGTTCTTTAAGAGAAATTGCTTGGGACTCTGTAGTGTCTTCCACTGACTCAGTCCCTGCTAGTCTTTTCAGCCAGGAGTTATGGGGACTTACCTTTCTGGCATTGGAACCCCGGGCTGTGGGTCTTATGTGGGGCTGGACTCCTCCGTCCCACGATATCCCTCCTGAATTTTTATCCAGTACATGGGGATGTAGGACCAGCCCATTTCACGTCTCTGACCTCTTGCCAGTCTGGGGATGTGGTTTCTTTAATTCTGTAGTTGTCAGACTTCCATTCAACTTGACTTCTGGCTGTTCTGAGTGATGGTTATTCTCTAATTTAGTTGTAATTTTGATGCGATTGTGCAAGGAGGCAAGTCACGTTTACCTTTGCTACCATCTTGACTAGAAGTCCTCAAACTGCTCTCATTGGTTGATTCTTGTATGTGCCCTGACTGGGGATCAAACCTTTAACTTCGATGTGTCCGGATGATGCTCTAATCAACCAAACTACTCCACCATGGCTCTAATTGCTTTGGACTGGGCTTGAAGGATGAAGGGTGTGGGGAGAGAACAGGATGAACAAAGGCAGGGAGGTTGGGCATGTGCCCAGGAGTGGTCAAAGAGGGGGCTAGAGAGGTGGGAACAGGTAGACCCCACAGGGCCTTAAATACCAGGCTGAGGGGTATAGACTTTGTCCTAAGGACAATGGGGGTGGGTAATGGCAGGATTTGGAGCAGAGGAAGGACAAAATCTGGTTTTGCTAGGTCATTTTTGAATCTTAGAAGAAGCAAGGCTAGGAGAGTAATGAGACTGCTGCAGAGGTCCAGGGGGGAAGCATGGGCTGGGCTGGCGGGGCTGCAGGGAGGGGTGCGGAACGGGGGTGGGGGTCTTGTGAATTAGAATGAAGAGGACACGGACCAGGTTCGTGTGGGAGCCCAGGGAGGACGCAGACGCGGTTTTCAGGTGAGGGCGGATGGCTCCCTCACGGTTCCCCTGACCAACTTCTCCCCAGAGTTCAGCCGACGCTGGTGTGTCCTTAGTGACGGGGTCCTGAGCTACTATGAGAATGAGCGGGCAGTGACCCCCAACGGGGAGATTCGGGCCAGCGAGATTGTGTGCCTGGCAGTGCCCCCTCCTGACTTCCATGGGTGAGCATCCCTGGGTAGAATCGCAGACTATCATTGCTGTCAGGTCCAACTCTCCCTCCCTTCCCCTCATTGGGAAGATGGGGAAACAGGCCTAGAGAGGGGGAGGACCTCCCCAGGGTCACATAGCAAACTAGGGCTGTACAGGGGCCCGAACCAGGATCCTGAGGGTCTAGCCTAGGGCTTTCCCACCAGTTCTCAGGGGGCCAAGTGAGGGTGCTCGCAAGGATAGTCATGGGCTGCGGGGCAGGGAATACCAATGATGCAGAGGGCAGGGCTGGATGGGGTGGGCCTGAATCCTGGCCTGTGTATCTACAGCTTTGAGCACACCTTTGAGGTATACACAGAGGGAGAGCGACTGTACCTGTTTGGACTGGAGAGTGCGGATCTGGCTCGTGAGTGGGTCAAGTGCATTGCTAAGGTGGGCCTGGGTTAGCAGGAGGGTATGAAGGGAGTCCTACAGGGCGTATGGTGGGACCTCCTGGCAGATCCCATGTATCCCAGCTCCCCCAGGATGGAGAGCAGCCAACGCAGTGCAGGCTCTCAGGCCAGGGGCCTACTCTAACCTGTCACACTCTGCGGGGAGGTCAGGAGACCTACCTCAGCTGTGTGAGCCTTGTGCTCTGCAGGTGCTCAGTACGTGTTTCATAATGAATGACAGCCATCTTAGGAGGGACAGTGCTGCTTCCAGGGGGAGTGATCTCCTTGTCCTGGAGGAAGGAGGCAAGGAGCCTGCAGAGGAGAGCTCTGCCCAAGGGACTAGAGTCAGGTGCCCTCTGGGGTCCCCCGTGCTTTAAGGGCCTGTGACTCTTCTATCATCCCCTTGTTCATTCATCAGTTGTCTGTGCAGCTCCTGGTGGTCATTCCTCAGAGCCCTGGGGGCCCAGATGAATCAGCAGTCTTGGCTCTGGCTCTTCGATAGCTCCCATGCTGATGGGGGAGACAGACAGGGCTCAGAAAGCAGTGACAGTATAATCAGTGCTACAACAGAGGGCAAGAATGCTTTGGCACCTTGGGGGCGTAGAGAAGGGACATCCTTCTCTGGTGTCCGGGGAGGTTTTCAGAGAAGGGAACATCCAAGTGGGTATGATGCGGGGCATGATATACTTGAGTTTGTTCACTCTGCTCCCTTCTGCCCCGAGGAAGAGAGAGGAGGCAGCTGGGTGGGCAATGGGCATGCACCCACAAGCCAAGGACGGAGGTGTCTGGGCAGGTAGTGCTGAGGGCTGATGCAGCCTCTGGCCTCCCCCACCCAGGCGTTCGTGCCTCCTGTGGCTGAAGATCTGCTGGCCCGGGATTTTGAGCGGCTTGGGCGCCTACCTTACAAAGCTGGTTTGAGCCTACAACGGGCCCAGGAGGGCTGGTTCTCTCTCACCGGCTCTGAGCTCCGTGCCATTTTCCCAGACGGGCCTTGCGAGGAGCCACTGCAGCTGCGGAAACTGCAGGAACTTTGTGCGTGGACCGAGACCTGGGCCCCAGCCTCCAGGACACCGTATCCTGGGCCCCCATTTCCCCAGCCCCTCCCTGGAAGTCTGAATGCTACCCTGTCCTGGCCAGAAGTAGCCAACCTGCCCTCTCATACTCCATCCTGTCCTTGGTGGGTGGGTCCCAGGGGTGTGTGTTTTCAGAGAGACTCAGGAGGGAGCACATTGGGGACCATGAGCAAGGCCTGGGCCTCACTTCCACTGGCTCCTCCGCAGCTATCCAAGGGGACAGCGAGAACCAGGTGCTGGTGCTGGTGGAGCGAAGGAGGTGAGCCCTGGCCTCCCTGAGGGGCTCCGAGAAGCCTGTGGCATTCCAACTGGCCTGGGGCGGTGGGGCAGGTGCAGACCCTCAAGTGACTGACTGTCCTGGGCCCAGGACACTGTATATCCAGGGAGAGCGGCGGCTGGACTTCACGGGCTGGCTGGGGGCCATCCAGAAAGCAGCAGCCAGCTCGGGGGACACGCTGTCAGAGCAGCAGCTGGGAGACTCGGACATCCCAGTGATTGTGTACCGTTGTGTGGACTACATTACACAGTGCGGTGAGCTCTGGCCCCATGATACTGGCTCTGGCCGTCCCAGGGTGACACTCACCTCCTGCCCTGAGGCCCAGCCTTGCCTTCCCAGGATCCCTGTGAAAGTAGCTCGGAGCTCCAAGGCCTTGCCCCATGACAGTGCCCTAGGCCCCTCAGTTTTGCCCCGCCCCCAGCTCAGCCCCATCCCTCTCCAGGCCTGACTTCCGAGGGTATCTACCGCAAGTGTGGACAGACTTCTAAGACACAGCGGCTGCTGGAGAGCCTGCGGCAAGATGCTCGCTCTGTGCGCCTCAAGGAGGGCGAGCAGCATGTGGATGACGTCTCCTCCGCGCTCAAACGCTTCCTGCGAGACCTGCCTGATGGGCTCTTCACTCGAGCCCAGCGTTTGTCCTGGCTGGAGGCCTCAGGTGGGCCCTGCCTCCCATGTTTAGCCTGAGATCCAGGCCAGTGCTGCTAACTTGTCCATTCCTATCTCAGCATTCTAGCCACTCCCCATTGTGTACTTGGGCTCTATATGCCCCAGTGGACAGGCTCCAATCTTGTCCCTCCCTCCTGTTTCTCATTCCTGTTGCCACTCCACACATAGATGGCAACTCCTGAGTGCCTGGTAGGATGTGACTGGAGGGGACTGGGAGTACTGTTCCCTGGGCTGATAGGCAGAACAGCCGGCGGGTTGGGATGAGGAGGCGGTTATGGGGGTGGGGGTGGCAATCCTGACCTGATCTCTCTCCCCCCACCCAGAGATTGAGGATGAGGAAGAGAAGGTCTCCAGGTACCGAGCCCTCCTGGCACGTCTGCCCCCAGTCAACCGGGCCACGGTAAAGGCCCTTATCAGCCACTTGTACTGGTGAGGAGCAATCCTATTGGGAGGCTTTGGGGGGATGAGGTGGAGAACATTTTTCTACTCCCAACCCTGCTCGCTGCCCTCCCCTGGGAACCAGGTAGGCTTGGGAACTGAACGTTGACTTACGATGTCTCCTGATATTCAACACTTTGTCTTTCCAACTTATTTTCTGCAGGTGGGAGAGTAGAGTTAGGGGCCAGGGGACCTTGGCCAGCTCTCCCAGTTTTCTGGCCCTACTCTTTCCAAGGACCCAAGACATGGCCAGAAAGATTGTCCCCATTTCCCCTTAATTAGAGCATTTAATTGCTCTGACCAGGACCTTTCCTGGGCTCACTCCAGTCATGGACCTGTCAGGAACTGGGAAGATGAGGTGGGGAAGTTCTGGACTGGACTCCTTACTCAAAGTCTCCATTCTTCTCTCTCCAGCGTCCAGTGCTTCTCAGATACAAACCAGATGAACACCCACAACCTGGCTATTGTGTTTGGGCCCACACTCTTCCAGACAGATGGGCAGGACTACAAGGCTGGCCGTGTGGTGGAAGACCTCATCAGCCACTATGTGGTGGTGTTCAGTGTGTGTACCCAGCCAGTAGGTGGTGGGGCCAGGGTTGAGCCTCCTGGGTGGCAGTGACCATCTGTCTCTGTCCTGCCCCCCTTCCCAGGTGGACGAGGAGGAGCTGAGGAAGCAGCGGGAGGAGATCACTGCCATTGTAAAGATGCGGGTGGCTGGCACTGCCAGCGGGACCCAGGTGAAGGACGGGGCCTGGGGTGGGGAGCTCAGGCCACCCACCTGCACCCACTTCCCAGGCATCCAGCCCTCTCTCCTTACAGCACGCCGGTGACTTCATCTGCACGGTGTACCTGGAGGAGAAGAAGGCAGAGGCTGAGCAGCATATCAAGGTGGGGGCAGGGGACCTAGAAGCCAAATGGCCAGAAGAGTGAGGCTGGGCCAGGCACAGGCTCATATGGCTAGGGGAGCAGAACTTCCATCCCAAAGGGAGCCCCGGGTTAGGACTGTCGTCTGGGTGGTGCTTGGCCTGTCCCTTCCCTGCTTCCCCACTCATCTCACCAGGAACACTCAGAGACACCCCCCTGCACCCCAGGACTCCAGAGGGCCCTGAGAGGGGTGGGCTCAGCCGCTGGATCACAGAGCAGGGTTGTGGAGGCAGGAGATAGGGTAGGTTGATCTCTTCTCCTTGGTCATCGCAGATCCCGGCATCCATGACAGCTGAGGAGCTCACCCTGGAGATCCTGGATCGCAGGAGTGTGAGCATCAGGGAGAAGGACTATTGGACTTGCTTTGAGGTCAATGAGAGGGAGGAGACAGGTGAGTGGTCACCGGGTTTGGTGCAGGATATGGTACCAGCCTGTCCTTGCCTGGGCTGCAGCCCGTTTGTCTTCCCCTGCCCTGAATTGTGGGGACAGTGGCGGTGAAGGGGGCTTTGGATGAGAGATGTTGCTGTCACACTGTGATCTCAGTAATGATAGCAACAGCGTACAGTGGTGCTTCCGGTTGCGGTTGTAGTGCCGCTGACGGGAGGGGCAGTGAAGGGGATAGATGGTGTCGGCCATGAGGATGTTTTCCCAGGTGTCGATGAGAATGACGTTGCTTGCAAGGGTAACGGTGCTGAATTTCTTGATGGAATCGCAGGCCCTGTTGGCGGTGAAGGGGGCAGTGGTTGGTGATGGCCATGCAGGAGGGGCGGCTGGGCTGGTGGTGTAGGTGGGGGTGGGTGCGATGGTGTGACGGGGCCATGGTAGTGGGGGGGAGTGATGAAGGCATTTTAGGGGGCCTTGATGGCTGTGGCGGGCGAGGGTCTCTCTGTTCATTTGTTATGTTACCTGTGGAGTGCGAAGCCCTGCGCGGGGGACGCAGACGCAGAGGCCCTCCCCTCCTAGGGGTTAGTCTGGTATGGAATAGGCACATCGATCCTGTGATCACCTCAGAAAATGTACAGCTGCAGCTGTGTCTACTGCTGTGCGGGCGAGGGCCACCAGGCCTCCAGGACGGATAGCCGCGTCTTTGGCTTTGGGGTCTCTGCACGAGGAGGTGAAGGAAGAAAAGGGGTTACCTAGTGAAGAGGGGGTGGCAAGTGCTTCCAGGCGATGGGAACAGCTGGGCAAAGGCCCTGTGGTGGCCAGAGGCAGCGCCCTTTCAGTGAGCGTGACATGAGGGCAGTGAGGGGGGCTGCGACGCAGAGGCCGAGGAGGCCGCTCGGGGCCCGGGCCCTGACGGCAGTGCAAGGCCGGTGAAGGGTTAGTGATCGGGAGTTTGAAAGGACGGCTCCTTGCTGCGAAGGGGAGAGCGGTGGGAAGCGGGGGGTGAGAGCACATGCAGGGGTCACTTCGACGACCACAGTATTGGTCTGAAGAGAAGATGGTGACATGGAGGCAGGGGCAGCAATGGAGATGGGCAAAAGCAGAGATTCGACCTGTGGAGGGAGGCTGAGGGGGCGGGAGGTGGTGTTGCGCTGGGGCGGCCTGGTGGGTAGGGCTGTGTTCCCCCATGAGGACAACGGGAGAGCTCGCTGGCTTGGTTTCGGACACGTTGGGTAGGAGCAGCTTTGGTTCCAGCAGGATGTGTGTGCCTGAAGCTCGGGTGTGGGAAGGTGGTCATGGTGTGACGTGTGGCGGTGCTGGACGGTGGCGGAGTGGATGGCGCTGGTGGACCTGCAGGTGATGTGTGTCCCTGTGCCAGCCTCTGCTGTCAGGCCACGTGGCCCTGGTGACAGTGGGTGTGACCTCTCCCCAGAGCGCCCCCTGCACTTTGCGGAGAAGGTGCTGCCCATCCTGCACGGGCTGGGCACAGACAGCTACCTGGTGGTGAAGAAACACCAGTCCATGGAGGCCATGCTGCTGTACCTGGGTAGGTGGTGTGCCAGGGTGGGCGGTGTGCCGGGGCGGGCGGCGCCTGCAGGGCTGGATGGGTTGGTGGGTCCTTCCATTCAGAGCTGGGGCAGAACCTCGTGGTGCCAGGGAAGAGCGGCTCAGGCAGTGGGTGTCAGACGGGCAGGCTTCTTCGGAGGCTGGGGCAGGATGGGGCACTTTCCTTCATCTTGGGACCCTACCCTGGGTGTCTGGGCTCATGGGTAGGGGGCTGGTGTAGTCCATGCCCACTCCAGTGCCCCCCCCCCCAGCCAGCCACGTGGGCGACACCAAGCACGGCATGATGAAGTTCCGAGAGGACCGCAGCCTCCTGGGCCTGGGGCTGCCCTCAGGTGGCTTCCATGACCGCTACTTCATCCTCAATAGCAGCTGCTTGCGGCTGTACAAGGAGGTCCGGGTAAGTGGCCCCACTGGGTCCTGCCTTGTGAAGGGCACCTGTACCCGAGTGCGCACAGACACCCACGCACAGGCCTTCCCTTGGGTTGCCAGTGGGAGCATCCCTACTGAGGCCTCTTGGGCCAACACAGCAGTGGGGAGAGTTGGAGACTCAGGGATGTGGCCCTGGGTGGCTACCCTGCTCTGTTCTGCCGTCCCACCGGGCCCTGGTACCTGGATGCCATCACGTCAGGCATGTGCCTCCTCACCTGTGCCTGTGCCTTACTGGCACACACAAGAACATGCTACATGGTGGCAGCCCACGTTGCGGCCCGTGCATGTCTTGTGGCTCACAGGTCATATCCCCTCTTGCCCACTCTGTCCACATGCTGGATGTCTTCCCAGACCAGGCCCCGTCCTGGCAACCTTTTCCCCCAACATCTTTTGCACACACATGCCACATCCTGCCATGCACCGCAACACACACCGTCCTGGCTCTGGACCTGGGCCTCCTTCTTCTGTAACCCTGATCCTCTATCAAACAGAGCCAGAGGTCGTGGAACGGGGTCCCTGAGACCGTGAGTAGCTGCGGGCCAACTGCCAGCTGCCTTACAACGCCTGGGGGCAAAGAGAGCCTGGTGGGAGCACAGGGACACAGCCGGGGCTCCTGGCCATCCCGAGGCGTGGATCCCTGCTCTCTTGCCTATCAGCACTGCTTCCCCCCGCCAGGGGGCTTGTGGCCTAGGCTCCTGTCTTTCATTCCCAAGTCTGTCCCAAAGTCCTTTCCCCAAGGTGGGAGTCCCCCATCAATAGGATGCTCTAGAATTTTCCAAAGAACTCGGTTTGGTAGCTGTGGAGCCAGTAACGGACGCTCCTAGGTTTGAATAGAGTACTGATTCTCATCTCCTGCCACCTCTAGCCACCCTCTTTTTAACTCTGGAGAGAATTCCAGGGTTATCAGAATGTCCTGTCTACTGTCCGGATCCTAAAATGCCAGGGTGGGGCTGCAGAGGCTTGTGGCGCATTCCTGACCTTTGGTCGGAGTTCCCTGTTCGCCCCCCTGGCCAGTTGCCAGCCCTTGTTTGCATACCCCTGGGAGAGGAGAGCTCATCCACTCCTCCCATGGGACTGCCCTGGACCTAGAGGGGTACTTCTGCCTGCGAGAAAGCCCTCGCATAGATTCAGCTGAGAATATGCCTCCTGTGACACCCCTGTGGGTACCAGCTGTGCCTCGGTCCACAGGACATGGATGTCCTGCAGAGACAGACAGCAGAAATGTGTTCCCAAGCCCAGAGCTGGAGCTAGTCTGAGCTCCCACGGCCACCCCCACCCGTGTCTCCAGCCCTTCCTGCCCTTTCATCTCCTGAGAACATCCGGACAGGCCTGGCTGCCATGGAGGAAGCAGAGCAGATAGAGCACAACCCGCACCTCCCTTTGCACATTATATTCCTCTATTCAGGCAGCCTGGGCTTCTGCTGATGCTTGTAGGGAATGCCTCTTCTTCTATCCTTTGCCTCCCTCTATGAGCACATCCTTACTCCTGGGTCTGTCCACCCCTCCAGTCAGTCCCCCTGGGTTCTGGGATGTTATTTGCCTGGCCCCCTCCCTCTAGGGGCACTAGCCCCTTGGAGCTGACCTAGCCCATTAGTATGGACAGGGGGTGAGAGGGATGGGCGAGGCACCTGGGGACGCAACAGCTGATCCCTTGGCTGGAGGGAAGGATAGGGGGAGAGCTAGAAAAAGGAAAATGTTTGTCAAGCCAGGCTTGGGGAACCACCCTTCACCTACTGGGATGTGTAATCTCACTTCTGTCCTGGGAGGAGGGGTATTGTTCCCATTTCACAGGCTAGAAAGCAGGCTTGAGTGACTTGCCTGAGGCCATCTCTAAGTGGTAGACTGGGATGCAAACCCAGATTTGTTAGCATCAAAGCCTGAGCTTTTTACAAGAGGCTGATAAATGTGGGGGTAAGTGGTGCTCTCCCCATTGGCAGTCAGCCCCTCAGGCCAGACTGAAGCCTCAGGAAGGTGTGTTGGCTACCGAGGTGCTGATAATTTTGGTGTTTGCTGGTTTATGGAGCAACAGGACAGAATACTTGGGACAGTCCGTGGCATTTAGGATATGGGAACCCTCGCCTTATCCTGGGAGTGTCCTATTGTTAAAGACCTTCAGGCACCTTCAGGCACATTCTAGAAAGATCTTGGTTCCAGCAGATGTCTTTGAGCATCAAAGGGTGAACTTCCTTCTCTGCTAGTGACGTGACGTCAGACTTCAAAGATGCTAGAAACATGAGCCGTTTGATTACAGCTGAACTCCTTGGGGACCAAGAAGATTACATGAAGGCTCCCCTTGCCCCACCCCCACCCCCACCGTTCCTGTCTCAGCCATGCACGTGCCACGCATGTGCCACGGACACGGGAGCTGGAGGAAGCAGAGGCCTGGGGGTTGTTTTTCAGATTCTCAGGAGCCCCAGCCTGGGCTGAATTCCTCAATCCCCACAGTGCTCTCCACGCCCTGATTGGAACCATCATTCCTGTCACACCCTCGGGCCTGTTCCTTTCGCTCTTCATTGACTTTACTCCTTGCTTCTACCTCACTTCCCCTCACACCCACAGCCTGACTTCTGAGCCTGAAGCCTGCTTCCCGTCCCCTCATCCTGATGCCCTCCACACCTGCAGCCCCCATGTTCCCGGCGTCGTTTCCTCCGTCGTGCCGGGAGCCTGTGGCTGCAGCCTAATTCCTTTTACACCCTGTCCCAGTCTCTCCGTTCCTGCTACCTGCTTTCTTTGAACCTGCGGACTGATTTTTTTCAGTCCTCTCAGCCCTGCTTGCACGTAGGTTTCTTCCGTGTTGTATTCTCCCCACGCCTTGCTTCTCCCACATCTGCAGCCTAATATCCCTTCCCACTGCCCGGTTTCCTCCCTGCCTACAGCCCAGTTTGTCCCAAGCCCTCTTGGGCACATGACCATTGTCAGGTCAGCTGCCATGTGTAGGAGACAGGGAGGGCTTCTCTGTCAGTGCTTTGGCCATTAGGGGGATTGGGGTGAAAGCAGGGTGAAGGGTCCCGAGGAAGCCCCTCTTAAGCCATGATTTAGTGACAACAGCACTGAAGTCTCCGCCGAGTCCTAGGCAAGCCATCCTTTTGTGAGCTCCCAGGGAGTCCACCAGTTCCCGAAACTCTCTGCCTCCCCTGGCCGTCCCTAGTTCCCTCTTTCTGTCCTTGCTGAGGAGCCATGCCTGGGGGTGCCTGGGAGCAGTGGTGGGGAACATAGTGAGATGGCTCAATCTTTGACCCCCAGTTTTGGTTGTAAGTGAGTCCCCTTCCCCTGCCGCTCACCCCGGCACCACTACCGGCTCCTGGTGGGGTGCCTGGTGGGGGCAGGGCTTCGAGCAAGTGGCTCCCACAGCAGGAGGAAGGCTCATTAGCTTGACCTCCAACCAGCCTCTTCCTTGGCGGGGTTGGGGGAGCACTGCTCCCATCGCCCTGCCTCCGAGCCAGCCTGCTCCTTCCAAGCCCAGACCCATATGCAGAGGCGGGGGCCAGAGGTGAGCAGGTCCACGATCTGGTGCCCCTCCCCAGTACATTGGTCTCTCGCTTCCTGGCCTAGACCATTGGGAAGTTCTTCCTTTGGTCTACCGAACAGCTGTTCCGCTTCAGCTTGAGTTATTAGCCTTCCCCTCGTGGAACCAAAGAGCTGGTAACTGCTGGCCCCACAGCCTTCTGTTCACACGGTCAACCCTGGAGCCTCCAAGGGGCAGGGAGAGGGTGAGGGATAAATAACCTGAGACAAACACAAGCAACCAGCCGAAGTTCCCAGATGTCACACGCTTGTGCAGCTTGGTGCCAGAGGGTGACATGCAGACTTCCCCCTCTGGGACAGGGGCTCACAGCTCTGGACTCCCACTGGAACGGCCGCCTCGGGGACTGAGGGTTGACTGTCTGATGCTGCTGCAGAGAGAGAGGCCTGGGGGGCGTCACTGGGCAGGAGTGTGAACAGGGAGGGCTTTGTCAGGAAGGCTTCCGCGGGCTGGGTGAGCAGGAGGCGGGCATGTGTCTAGTCGGGAAAAGTGCCCCAACGCCCACCCTGACTGACTCAAGTGCCTTCCCCCTCCGTCCTCTCCCACCCCCAGAGTCACCGACCTGAGAAGGAGTGGCCCGTGAAGAGCCTCAAAGTCTACTTGGGGGTGAAGAAGAAACTCCGGCCGCCCACCTGGTGAGCTGGACCTGGGGAGATAGGTCTGCATCTAGGGCCTGTGGGGGCTCAGAACAGAGTGGGGAAGGCTCATCTGGGAGCTTTGAATTTGACGGGTGGATTCAGTGGTTCTGAAGATGCCATTTCCCAGACCGGCAGCATCAGCATTACCTGGAAACACATAAGAAACTCAGCTTCTGGGGTACCGCCCAGACCTGCTGACTTGTGGGTCCTGGGGGTGGGGCCAGCAGTCTGTGCCAGAATGAGACGTTCAGGGAACTCTGAGCCTTGCTCATGTTTGAGAGCCACTGGCCTGGATTGAAACCCTTGTTACTGACTATCTCTGGGACCTTTCTGTGCCTCACCTTCCATATCTGTAGAATGGGGAAAGTAATGGTACAGTGGTTTCAAAGGGTGGTCGTATGTTTTAAAAAGTTGAAAAGTGCTACATAGCCATTATTATTGTTACTAGTTTAAGGAGACGTCAGGCTTGGTGTTCTTACTTTCTCCTCTCATCTGCTAGCTGTGCCTGGTTTTCTCTGAGGGACTAGGGCAGGCGTGGGATGGAGTGGGCTTGGGGGTGGGGGAGCCAGGGGCCTGGGAGGCTGTGAGGGGGTAGAGGCTATGAGTGGGGAGGCAGTAGCCAGCATATGCTACCCTTGCAAGAAGGCCTGGGTCCCCAGCGCTGGTCCATGATCCTGGGAATCTGGGCTGCAAGGCCTCTGGGGGCTGCAAGTGACCCCAATCACCCCTCCTCTGCAGCTGGGGCTTCACTGTGGTGCACGAGACAGAGAAACACGAGAAGCAGCAGTGGTGAGCGAGGGCCCTGTCTTGAGACCCCAGGCCAAGGAGAGATGGTAGCCTGTACCCCTTGAGAGGGCGCCCTCACTGTCCAGATCTGTGCCCTGCCCTGAGACCCCGGGCTGGGGAGATGGGCAGGGTGTTCCCTGCTTAGCCAGGGCCTTGGCAGCCTCCAGACCTGTACCTCCCACCGCAGGTACCTCTGCTGTGAGACGCAGATGGAGCTCCGGGAGTGGTTCGCCACCTTTCTCTTCGTGCAGGTACCAGGTGGGGGTGGGGTGGGGTCCCGAGGAGTCATTCATTGTGGTGTTTGCTTCTTCACTGTTCAGGCTACCAATTGCTTCAAGGAAGTTTTGAGTTGCTTTTAATTCATTTTGCTTGTTTTTTTACTCATTAAACCCTTCCCAGTAGCCCTCTCTGGTCCATCCCAGAGCCAGGCGAGCGAGAAACAAAGGGCGCAGACCCTATCTTTGGTTGGCTGCATGGGGAAGGCATTAGGGAGAGGGTGTCATGGGGGATGAGGGAATGTTCAAGCCAAGGTCGGGGGGTGGGGGTGCTTCTAGGCAAAGGGAACAGTTCATGCAAAGACATGGCAAGAGAACTACAGATTGTCCAGCGGGGTGTAAAGGGAGAAGCCAGGAGTGCCAGAAGCTGGCACTGGAAAGGGAGTCGGGAGCAAAATCTCGAAGACCCTTGAAGGCCATGCTGAGGAAGCAGAACTTGACCTAGTCGGCAGTTTTAAGAGAGAGCGTTAAGCAAGGAAGAGTGGTGTGTGGGTTTGAGTTTGATGGTGCCTTCTGGGTGTGGTAAACGGGGGAGGGTGGACATCTGCTGAGCCTGGACATGAGGAGGCCAGGGAGGTGGCCGCTGCAGTGAGCCAGGCGGGAACAGCCTAGGGACTTGGAGCAGGGCCAGAGGGGTTGGACTTAAAACAGAGGTTTTTATATGAGAGCTCAGAATTGTTTAGGGAGAAGGGAGGCAAAACTGTACCAGGGCCTGCGCTGCATCCTTTCAGTAGTCAGGGTCTAAAGGGAAACAGAGTAGTGTCTGTGGTTTTCTTGGTTCCTGGTGAAAGGGGGCAGACTGTTTTCTTGGTGCTGCATTCCTGGAGCAGTTTGTTTGTGGACCGAGAGATGAGAGTTGTTGGGTAACATAATTGGCTGGGTTTTGTCAGGAATACAGTCATTTTTCCTAACAGCTGCTTCTCATATCGGCTGGGATCAAAGCTGAGGGTGTCACCTCAGATCATAGCTGGAGTCATTTCTGGGAAGAGAGGGTGGATCTGGAGCTCAGTGTCTGGGCCAAAGCTGAGCCCAGGTCCCAGTGCCCCTCTTCTCCCATCTCCACAGCATGATGGCCTGGTGTGGCCCCCAGAGCCCTCACGTGTGTCCCGGGCGGTGCCTGAGGTCCGGATGGGAAGCGTGTCGCTGATCCCCCTCCGTGGCACGGAAAATGAAATGCGCCGGAGTGTGGCTGCCTTTGCTGCGGACCCGCTTTCTGTGAGTGGCTCTCCATCCCAGTGGGCAGGGGGCTGGGTCTTGGCTGGAGCCTGCCTTTCACCTGACTCACCTACTTACCGCTTTGCTTCTCTGAGTGCCTTTGGACCCCTTTCCTCTGTCCTCAGTAGGAGTCCTGACAGGCCCCTTCGGTTCACATAGTTCATGGGAGTCCCCTCTCCACCTGGCCCCTGGCCCCTATGAGCCTTCACAGAGTGCTCATGAAATCTGGACTTCTGTGTCTTCCTACAGCTCCTCAGAAACGTGTGAGTGCAGGCGCCAGCCCCTGGCTCTGGGATTCTGCTGCCTGGAAGCCTTCCTGTTCAGACACCCTCATGCCCTGCGTGCTTGCTGTGAGCCAGCAGGGGCACATGAGGAAGCCGCACCCCCCACGTTCCACATCCAGACTGCAGCCCGGGGTTCCCTGGCTGGGGAGTGGGGGCAGCAGGGTCTGCCTGAGGAGGAACCCGTCACCTGCTCTGCCCAGGTGCTCAGCCCTCCTGGCCTGGTCTGCTCCCCGCCAGGGTCACCCGCCCTGAGTTTGAGAGGTTGGGGAGATGGGCATCAGTCAGGAACTCTGGGGGAACACCATCTTTTCAGAGGCTCAAGGCTCTGGGGCCCCTGCTGGAAGGGAGCCCAGCCCCTTGCCACAAACTCCAGAACAGCAGAAAGCAGATACTCTAAAGGAACACTCAGCTGGGGTGGGAAGGGAGCTCTTGGGTAATTTACTGTGGGGCCAACTGGTGGACTTTGGGGACTTAAGTCCATCTTCTGGTCTGGGGTGGCTGGGAGGGTCCAGGTTGCCTGGTGCTCCTTTCCTACTTTGGGGACCTTTTGTTAATATAAATATATCTGTATATTTTATTCTACGGTGCTGTGAGGCCTGTGATTGGTTGGGGGTTTCTGGTGTTCCAGTGTGGGAAGAGGTCAGGAGGCCCAGAGGTGAGTGCTGGTGCCCGAAGCCCAGGGACCAGGGCTCTGCTGTCCCTAGGCCCTGAGCTGCTCAGCCACTCTCCCCGTCCCAGGCAGAGCCGGTCTGACTCCACGCTGTCCCCACTGTGCTCCCCTGCAGCCAGGTCCAGATCTCGACCAGGACAGGCCCCCGCCTGGACTGAGCTCCTGTTCCTGAGGAGCCTCGGTGTGGCATGTCAGTGACTCGGGGCAGCCCCTCACCAGCTCCTGAGACACAAGGTCACCGGGTCACAGGAGCTTTATTAAATTGGGAGGAAGGGCCTTAGGTTACTCTTGGCCCTGTGCCTACCCCTCCAGGGGCGGGCCCTGCCTCCTACCAGGAAGCGCCCCTCACTAGGCAGTGCTTGGTCATTTCCTCCAAAAAGACATGGCCCTGGCAAACGGAGCTGTTCAGAGATGGATTTGGGACTCCGTGGGAAGATGCCAGGCACCACATTCCTGCCTCTGCCTAGTCTGATTACCAGCCCCTCTCTGGGGGCCCAGCAGGCAGACAGGCGGGCCTCCCAGCCTCAGTCTCAGCCAGCGGGGCCAGGCAAAGAGGTGGAAGGTGGGTCACATAACCTCTCACTCATGTGATTCAGCTCAGTGGGGAGGCCTGGGTGCAGATCCTGGGAACCTGGAATCCAGGATCCTTGTTTCTTGAGAAGTGGAGGAGGATATCAGGGGACTAGAACAGGTTCCCTGGCCAGTTTCACAGGCTGGGCTGAAGCTCCCTGACTCTTGGGGCTATATCACCTGAATCTTGTCCTGCCCTAGGTGGGCTTCTCCAGTCCAGGCTGACCATTCCACCTACAGCCAGGACAAACCCTTGTCCAGGTGCTCGGGGGCTGGGATTCTTCCCTGGATCTGACCTTGGACAGAAGCTCAGAGAGAGGGTGGGTTGAGACTGGAGCCCGCCCCTCTGCTCAATTGCCAATTGTCACTGCCTTGGCTGAGGGGCTGGCTGCAGTGATAGCATTGAGCCACCAGGGGGCAGCCATAGTTCAACACGGTCTCAGAACAGGTTCTGAAGGGCTCCAGTGTGGTCATCCTGGCTCAGGCCTTGCTCTTTTGGACTGTGGGGTGGTACCTGTCCTTGTCTTTGACGCCAAGCTGATATTCTGGGAGGCAGCACAGTTCAGGGATGTGGTTTGGACTCCTGGAATCTAGAAGCACCCACTGTGGGTCAGTGTCTGTGGAAGAAAGTAAGGCCCAGAGAAGGGAGGCAACTTGGCCAAGGTCACACAGCTCTCAATCTGGGCTGAGGTCCAGTTCCGCTGCCCCACTTTGGGGTGGTCTCCCTCTTACTCCAACTCCTCTCCTTATTCCAACTCTGCTCTCTTATAAGTGGCCCCACTTGTTCTCTGGGGAAGGGGATCTGAACTGTCAGAACATTAAAGTGCTTTTGCTTGAAATCAGGAGATTTTAGGGCCTTGACTTTAATGAATATGACAATGACAACAGTGTTGGATGGATTCGGGCAGGAGGCTTTGCTGGTCTTTGCCATGAGGATTCCTAGAAATGGGACCTTGAGACATTTGTTCACATATTTGAAGTTGGGTCGGGGGTGGGGAGTAGCTGAGGAGCCCAAAGCTAGACCTGCTGAGGCGTGGGGAACAGCTCCTGGAGAGGGAAGGAGCTTCTGGCGAGAGCAGGCGCCCCTGCACTGGCCTTGAGACTGGTGCACATGGGGTGAGCGGGGCTTGGAGAGGGTGTGGGTGGAGTGTTGGAGGAGGAGGACAGGCCTTCAAGGGTCAACCCAAGTCTGGGCCTAGTTGCCTAGGACCATGGGGAGCCCTGGGAGGGAAGGCTGGGCAAGTGAGAGGGCATCATGCATGGAAAAGAGGCTGAGATGGGGGGGATGACTGTCTCTTTCATCTTGTTCCACTGACCCATTCTGCAAAGCAGCCATCAAGGGCCTCTGGGCCTCAGGAGACTCCTGGGCTCTGCAGGAAGTCAGTGGGGCAGGGGGGAGAAGATGGACCCTACCGTCTCCGCTCTTCCCCCTGAGCCGGATTGGAAGAGGGGCCTGGAGCTGAGGCTTTCTTCCCTGCACCCATGCTCTGGTGGCTCCCAAGCTTCCTGTCCACAGCTGGCTGTTTTGGAAAAGTGTGGGTGTGGATGCTGATACTCCTGCCTACAAGCTGTGGAGCTTTGGCTGAGTTCCCAAGGTTTCTGGTCCTTGGTGTTCTCATCTGTACTATGGAGATACGAATATACAGACATGTCTCACTTATTGAGCTTCGCTTTACTGTGCTTCACAGATGTTGTGTTTTTTACAAATTGAAGGCAAGACCCTCCACCAGCAAAAAGATTACAACTCGATGTATTGCAACACTCATTTTATTGCATTGGTCTGGAACTGAATTCACAGTATCTCCGAGGTATGCCTGTACCTGCTAATGGGAGGATAAATGAGCCAATAAGCAGGAGTACCTAGCACTATCCATCGATAATCCCCTCTCCAGATATGTCTGGGGGAACATCACGGCATCCAGAATCCTCTCCAGGCCCAGTATATTTTCATTCAATGAGCATTTCTTGAACACATACTGTGTGTGCAGAGCTTTACTGAACACAGAGCAGGAGCAGGAGAGTACGTGGTGTGGGGGAAGGAATGAGCCCTTCTGTTGGGCGGGGTGTGATATTGATCAGGAAAGACTCCATGGATGAGGAGAGGCTAGAAAGGCAAGTGCATTACTGAAGGTGGAGTTGGGCGGAGAAGACATCTCCAGCAGAGGGAATGGCATGAGCCAAAGGCAAAGTGATGTCACTCTGCAGTGAGCAGCCTGTTGTAGTTGGAGCTCAGTACCCCCAGGAGCCCTCCAGGGCCTGTCCCCCATGCGTCTGGTGTTGGAATTTTTGTGTGTATCACCTGCTTCTTAAATACGATCAGAATGCAGTCAAATGGGCTCCTTGGAATCTTCCCTCACCAGAAAAATGACTAGCTCCTACCCTTTAGCCAGCTCCATGACCTAAGTGACCCAGACCCCAATCTGGGGAATGTCTGTCTGTCTCTCTCATATACATGTAAGTACAGCTCTCATGAAGCTCCCAGTTGCTCCTCCAGTATGACACCTCCTTCAGGAAGCTCTTCTGGATTGCTCTTTATTTCTGCTGTACTGAGTGCATTTAGGGAGTGTGTGCGTGCGCGTGCATGCGTTCTCCAATCACTTGCACCTAAGAACAGGGTTGCGTGGTCAGCCCCAGCTGGTCCAGCCCTAGCTTGTCCCCTCTCCCGTGCCACTTCCAGCCTGTGGAAATTTCCACACTTTCTCTGCCCTGGTTACAGCTCCTATTGCTGTATTTATCACCCTGGAGACAGTGGCACAGGCGCACATGTGCCACGCACACTTGCCTGGCACACATGTGCCTACACACCTCAGCCTGCACTTCCACGCATACACTCTGCACGTGTGTGAACGCCCACACACATAAAGCTCTCTAGGAAAATTGCCCCCTTCCCTCCTGCTGCTCCTCCCCACTCTGCCCTCCCACCACCGCCCACCTCAAAACGCTGAGTCCAAAGCGGTGGGCTGGTTGGTGCCTCCCACCACCTGTCAGCCTGGGAGGCACTTCCCCCTCTTGACTGTAGCGTGCTTCCCCACCCCCCCCTTCCCCCTCTAGTCTGTCTCCCCAGCTCTCCCTACCCCTCCCCTCTGCCACTTCTCTGCGCTCCGGTATATCTCTCCCTCCACTTCAGTCCCTCTGAGTTCTCTTCGCCACTCTTCTGACCCTCTGAGGTGGAAACTGTCCCTCCCTGTTCTTCAGGGGCTCAGGATGAGCACCTCCCAGGGGCTGATGGAGACCGGGACAGGCTGAGGGGTTCAGGGCCTGAATCTCCTCAGCTCCTGTCACTTTCTGTACCTCCTGAGTGAGGGGAGGGCTGTGTGCCTGGCACCATGGAGACCAGTGTCATGGCAACCCAGCCCGAGTGGGCACAGCCTTCCTTCTCCAGGGAGGGGCTGCCCTTAGGCCCTGGGGAGGTGGGCCTTGTGTTGCTGCCCAGCACTGGCTGCCATGCTAGCCTCCAGCGCATATCGCCCCCAGGACACCCTGACCCTGACCAAATTTACTTTCACTGCATCTTCTAATGCCTTAAGTCAGCAATGGGGGAGAAGGGGCAAATCTGCCCCAAACACCTGAGGGATCGTTTATAGGCGGTGGGCCAGAGAGGGCAGAGGCTTGCCCAGGGCCACACAGCGAGCCTGGTCCAGCTCCCAGGTCAGCAGTCACTGGGTCAAAGAGGTCAGTCCACCCTGGGATCCTGCCCTGGGAGGTCTCTTGCCAGTCCTTAGTGGCGAGATAATAAAGATACAAATGATAATGCTGATGAACCCTTAGGAAGCATCCACCACCTACTAGGCTAAGGCTTTGCATGTGTCATCTTGCTTCATCCTTAAAACCAACCCTATGAGGAAGGTACTCTGTTCCCATTTTATAGGTGAAGGAAACGAGGCGTGGACCTGCCAATGTCAGGTGACTAATAAGTGGTGTGGCCGAGACAGGAACACAGGTCCTTCCGAGATGGCACAGGCAAGCTGAGGTTTCATGCCTCTCCAGCACGCACTCTTTTTCTATTTTAGCGGCAAATTGAGTTTTCAGTTCTGTCTTTCCTTCCGGAGAGAGTTCACAGGGAAGATCTGGGGCTTAGTGTAAGTCTGGCCTTAGGATTTCTAGAAGCCAGGAGGCTATTTTTCTACGAAGATGGAGAGGCAGCAGAGCCTTCATAGTGTGGTGTCCTAAGGAAGACCTCCCTCACAGCCTGGCAATGTAGAAACTAGCTCATAGTCTCCAGGACCTTTTAGAATCATGTCTAAACCTAGGATGGAGCGAGAGCACCCTGCCTTTCAGTTCCAGCCTCAACTTGCCTCCTTATCTTGATGGAGTCACACGTCAGCTGCCTCCCTCCTGGCTTATGTAATTATTCAAATATAGCAGCTGCCTTTATCCCACTGAGTCACACCTCCTCCCTCCCCCCCCCCAACCAGGTGCA